ACTACAAACCAACTGACCTACATGACATCGAAACCTGCCATGATGCCAAAAACTGCCAGGGGCCCCTGGGTACAGGGCCCAGGCTTCCAGCCAAAAACAGCAAATCCCAAGGATGAGTTCAGTTTGTTGTGACACTAAACACTGATGCAACAGCCATTTACAGCCGCAATATTGCTTCATGTTTAGACGGCCTGGGGGAAGGGAGAGATAGAGGGTGAGAGAGATAGAGTGTTATGGGTAAGAGCAAAGTAGATTAGTTCTGTATAGTGAAGCACGGCGAGGTCCGGTAAGCTGCAGAGGGGCTGCAGCACGGCTCGGACTCATTAAACGCCCACACTACATGAGCTTGGAATGCAGGTTGGTAGAGAAATAAACAAACATTCAGGCGTACACAGAACAACAGAAGGAATGTGATTGTAGTTATGCAAGATTGCATCAATAGCAACACGTAGATGTTCTGCATTCTGACTCATTATCAGAGCTTGGCTGATAACTCGGCCTGATCTGGTGTTCGGAGCCATGGAGCTCCAAATAGAAGCTCCAAATTAAAGTGAGGCGTATCAGGAGCTGCAAGGAAGCCCCCCCACTTCGACTTACTGCTGAGGTGATGAGGGAGGTACTGCCTGCTGGTAAAGACTAATGGGACAGTCCTCTGCTCTGGTGTCAGGAGATACATTACCCAAACATATCATTTTATGTTTTAGTCACTATTTGATGTCAGATTTTCCACACCTGCTCTTAAACTGTATGCCTTTAGGATATTTTTGGCTTGGGTTGAGGAAATCAGCGGTTCTGTTGTATCCACACACACACCCTGTCGTTAGAGATTAATTATTCAATCAAACACTGAATGGAACTGGTTCTTGATCAGCAGGCCAACTCCTGGAAAGTCTGCCGATATGTTTGGTATAAACATCAACCAACAACGTTCACTCTGATTCACTTTGTTTGGGTTTAGCGATAACCAGATAAAGGTTTGAGGATGGGTGCTTTGATAAAAAAAGTGATAATACTATAGTTTATTTCCTCTGTTTGATTTAAACCCTGACTTCTGCATATAAACATACATTGAAAATAGGAATTTAATTAAAGAATTTAGTTCTCAGAAGTAGCGGTGTCCCAATCCAACATTAATATAGATATCAGTCCAATATTAGCCAAAAAACAAAGTAATAAAAGCCTATACCATTCATACTAATGTTGTATGGGGGGATTTATTGGTTTCAGACAATTCTCAAAGATACAATATCAGTATCTTATCGGAAATAAAAAAAAGTTGCATCGGGACACCCCTTCAAAATACAAACCTTTACATTATTTGCATATTGTTTATATTTTTAGTCTTAAACCAAAACAATAACAGAATAAAAAAAATCCCTTTTTGTTTTAAGAAATACTGTTCAGAAACACTGAATAAGTGACCAAACACAGTAAGGCAACCCAGCCCACTATGACTTTCCTGCAAGCTACAATATACATCTAACAATGTCCCCGTTTTCAATGCTGCAGTTGCAAGCTTATTGTAACATTTGGCGAGGTTTTAAATACATTTAAGCCAGAATATTATTCATATTTAGCTTTGAAGTCCTTTATTTTAACAGAGAAATTAATTCTGCCTTGAATATTGAGGTTTTGGGAGTAGCACAGCCAGAGAGCTGATGGGAACCTATAAGAAAAGCTAACCATTAGGGTGGTGGGGAGGAGGTGGCCACTTTTGAGTAGAACATAAGATTTATTTTAAATTAGACATTTTACTATCTTTAGAGAAATGGCTGCAAAAACTAACCACTAATGTTTGGAGACGTGTGGAATGGAGAGTCCCTGTTCCTGGTGCAGACTGCTGATTTCCATACTGGTGGGAGCGACAAACTCACACAAACCAGGAACTACAGGATTTAACACAATCTATGTCTTCAGGATAATATGCTACACTTAAAGGTATAGTTGAGGATCTTCTTTTTTTTTCAGGTGGATCCTCTAAATAATTGGTCCTCCTAATTGTCAATCATTCTGGTGATATGTTTACATAAGGCCATCCTACATGCTCGTCCCCATTTTCACTTACCGGTGGTGAGTCTGACATAGTGGAAAAATTGCAAACATTCTTTTGGAAAGTAAGCCTGTCTGATTGATGCAAACAGCAACTTTTAAACAGAGAGTGCATGAGGAGAAATGGTCTCATGCATGCTATTGCACGTGTTTCAAAAATTCAGAAAAACCCTCTACTATACCTTTAAATTGCATATACACTGCTTCCTAATTCGAAGTGGCTCTGTTTGCCTAAGCTGCCTGAACATACAGAGAATAATAGTTAAATATGAGCCTGATAATTACAGAGGCAAACAAAATCTGATGCACTGCAGATAGAAGCTGCTGTGAAAAGACTGAATAATGCTCATGTTTCATAACCTTCATCGGCCGTGTGTTTGCTTAATCTCTGCGTTACTCAAGCCCAGGTGAGTCTCGCAGGACGGCTCTCGTACTGTACGTCCTGCTGTATCATGTGACAGCTCTCCGTTTTTATCCTCTCAAGAAACTCGAGAGATTCTCTGTTTTTTTTCCCCAACAGATTTTCTCAACTTGTGATGAGAAAGATATTCATTTATTCAATTGAAATAAAAAGGACTCCCTATGCAATAGAAACTGGTTTGTATTTTGTTTCATTCGCTCCTTTTTATCCTAAAAAACTGAAGTAGGCTGAAAAATACGTACTTATCAAACAAAAAATATTATGTGTTTTTTTTTTATGTTTTTCTCCATTTGTAATGTTTTGCCTCAGGAGAAAACAGCATGTACTATGCAGGAATGGGTCAGTTGCTCTGTTAAAGCGAAAAGCCACTCACTGAATGAACACAGAAAGACACACAAGGGGCCTTAAATAGCTAAATCCTGTGAATCTTAGTTGTGTTTTTCAGATGCTCGACAGATAAAAGCTCTCTGAGCCTCTCTTATCGGAGCAATTCACCGTAGATAATGAAAGAGACAACAGCTTTGCTTTGTGACCAGACATGCAGTGATAGCTGCACATCCGGCCTACTAAAGTGACAAATGCAGTAATGTTTGCTGGAATTCAATAGTCTGGTTTGTACTATAAAGTTGCTGGTGATTTAACACTGCCTTTTAAAAGGGGACCAATAAGACCCCCTTTTTACGAGTTACAAGCTAAACGTTTGATAAAACCCAAAAGTACAGAGAACTGAATAAGTCAGAGCTGAACAACAGCAGTTTGACTCTCCAGGAACTCACCCAGGGAGATTTAAGCACTGAGCTTTAGATCTTCGCAGATCTATCAAAAACCTCTGGGTGGTCCTTCCAATGAGAGGCCGACTGAATGCCTGCACATAAAAACAGAGCTATACCAGCTGCAACCTAGAAATCTAACCAGGTGGAAAAACACACTGCAAGTTAGAATTCAATGATTGGAATCCAGTTCAAGTTCTAACATCCTATAATCTGTTAGCTTGGTGAAATGATTCAGGGTTTTCCTTAACGGGTTTTTTCCCCCCATATTTTACACTGACGCTTACAGCAGATGATGGTCCACTGCCACTCCCTGTACGTCCGATTAAACGTACTCAGAGCAGAGAGCCAAACAGAGCTGGATGCCACGGTAACACCATGCCCCACTACACGGACACCATCAACATAACAGGTGTTCACTAACATCTAAAGGCTAGGCTAGGTTTGAATACATTTATTGGGACATAAATGAGGAAGCTGCATGTTCTGGTGAAGCATCGTATAAAACACTTTTGCTTTCTTAAAACCAAATTGGTAAAGGCGAGGTGTAAAAACTTCCACTGTAACAAAAAAAAAAAACAGTTCATAAATAGAAGAAATAAATACATAAATTTATTTATTTTTTTTATTTAAACATGAATTCCTGTCTTTATGTTTGTGAAACAGGGGGTTTAGTGGAAATCTTATGACTGAATAAAAGCTTCTTATTGTTTTTTTTTTTGTTTTTTTTTTTTTACTTTTTAATGTCAAAACATCAGAGCTTGAGCAAAACTCTGTATTTGAGAAAGTAAAATGTACCATCGTGCCACAGGCTAGTCATGTTACTGCTGTCTTTGGACTTATGAAGGATCAAGAAACCAAATTACAAAATAAAAAATAATCCTTCCTTACAAAAATTTTTTCCTAAACCTTAAAACAGTTTGGAACCTGATATCAAAGGTTTTTCCTCTGCCTCAAAAGCAAAATCTTAAATCTCACATACACATTATTCTTATTAACAGTTTGGCGACTCATCTTAAAAAGCTCAATTCTAATCACCAATGCTAAGAAATACACAAATACAATATTTTTTTTCCTAATCTGCAAAAAAGGCTCCAAATAAAAATCCAAAAAACACAATAACAAAAACAAAAATGAGGCCTGATATGGCCTATTAAATTGGGAAGATATAAATAATTAATGCTGAAAAGAATGAAACTGAAATTTTCTACCGTATTTAGTTTGTGAACTTGTTCAATTAGCATTTAATCAGCCAAGCTTTTCAAAATTAGCCTTTATTTAAAAATAAAAACACCTTTCAATACAGAGAGGATCAACATAAAAGGCTTAACAGAAGCATTTTTGTATATCCTATAGAGAGATTTTTATGCAAGTAACTGCGTTTTGCATTCCGTATATTTTGATTCTATTAACGTAATTGAGGTTGGAGAAAAATAATCCTTCACTGTTGACACCTCTGAATGTACACAGTGTCTCTCCCCCCCTCCCTCCCTCTGTGTGTGCAGTGTGGCTGCTGCTGGAGCTGCATGCCTGGCTCTGTGTTTATTTCTGGAAGCTCACAACATGGCGGACATGTGCTTTGTTATTGTTAGTACAACATCGTCTCCTTCCTCCTCTATGGTTTCTATCGCCCCATAACAACAGACTAAAGCACAGGACAGCCCATCTCAATGAGAAAAATAGGTTGGAACGATTTGATGAACACAAACAAAGAGAGTAAAATCCTTTTTTTTCTCCTTTTTTCTTTTATCTTCACTCACCATTTGATGATGATGGCCATATGGAATATTTGTTTCTTGAAAAAAGGCACTGAGGGCAGTCTAAAAGAAAGAAAAGACAACAGCACAGCAGTTTATATGCGTTAATTTTCTTCTTTTTTTTTTGGACGTCGTTTGGCAGAGTGTAAATAAGTAAATTATCCTAAACTGGTAAAAACAAAATGGTTAATACAAAGCATCAGAGTTCTCATTTGTAGGCCAGTCTGTACAGCATTATTGCATAATAGTACCCTGGCTTCGCCTGTGAGCTGCTGTCATGTGTCGGATTACAGTATTTAATCTCGGGTAAAGTCTAATTGGATGTGCCTTAACCTTGTGTGTTATATTATTGTTCTGTATATTGGTTTCCTTTTCCTAAACGAAGCAACGATGAAATGAGCCGTCCCTGTTAAATTTGCTGAAGGAAAGAAAAAAAGAAGAGTCGCGTTTTGTTTAAGTACAAAATGTTTTTTTTTTTTCAGGTGTCGACAGTGGCAGGCAGGGCAGCCGTTAGGAAACTAGCATAAACATTAGCTTAGCGCGTGATGCTAACTCAGCTTTTTTATTATTATTTTTTTCCTCTCTTTTTTTCGTCTTTTTACCTCAAACTGCCAATGTGCCGCTTGCAGGAGCTGTTTCGCTTGGTCTGCCGCACAACCCGCCGTCAGGACGAACTGGTTAATCATGACTTGGTGTTTGAGTTCATCCATTTTTCCACCGATGCGCGTCCGTTTCCTGCTTAAAAAACTCGCCGCAGCTGGCTTCTGAGGCAGACTTTCCGTCGTTCTGGGCTTATTTCTCCTCTATCTTCTCTCTTTTGTTGTGTTCCGTCTCACTCTACCTCACTCATCCACCATTACAGCCGGTTGAGCAAACACAAATATTTACTGTAGGAGCGGTAGAGGAAGGAACGGCGCTTGATTGACAGATCGAACCAGCCAATCAAGTAGGAGCATCCGCTCTAGGGAATTGTAGGCGCTTCTGTTTTAAACAGATTGCTGTGGGGTAAAAAGTTCACGCCTAAACCCAAACTAAAATAGCTTAGTTATAAGACTAAGATTACTTAACATCATTAAACGTATAGGGGTCAGAAACCACCTCGAAAGGTACCCGCTCCGAATGGATATGCGTTTGTTTTGGACTACAAATCCCGTGACCGTGCGCTTTGTTTGTAGAAGACCCAGAGGGTTGACTTTTGTGAATGACGGCCTTTCTCATCCAATTCCCACGCGCGCTGTGGCACTCGCTTGCCAAATATGGTAAACAAGTCCACCATCACCAATAACATGGGCCAGAGTTAAATTAAGTACATCCAAAGTGGTGATGGCAGCGTCGTGCCAGCTACTCTTTGCGTGGATCCCTTGAAAACTGCAGTGCGCACACATGTCAGTGCGGTCTGCTTCGAGGCTTCAACCGCACACATCCGCAGTTCTTCTTTTTGTTTCCGCTCATATCAAACGGGTTTGATGGGAGGGACATTGTTTGATTTAGTGAAATATCACAATAAACACCTATTGGCTTTGTCCAAATTTAAAAGGGTTTCTAACAATAAAAAAAAATGCAGTTGGTAAACATACATATCCTTTTTTTCTTAAGAAATGGGTTTTAGATTTTTTTTTTTTGTTGCGTTTCATCTGTCTAAAACTAACTTAATGACTCAAAGATGTGAGGTTATATAATCCTATATTGGTTCTTTATTATAGAAATACAGATGGTGGGAGACAGGAAATACTTCCGCTTATTAACGACATTTTCTTGTAAAGGATGTGTTTACCACACTAAAAAAAGAAAAGTCTTCAACGTGTGCCGCTTAGGATTGTGGGTAAGCGTAAATTGTAAACATTGTAGTTTCTAGCTTTCTAGTGCATGGCCGGCGGGTGGAAATACAGATGGGAAGCAGAGACACCTGCTGGTGATTCAAGGGATAGCATTGTTGGAGAAAAAACATGGTGCAAAAAATGGTCAGTTTTTATGGTCAGTTTGACACTTTGGCAGCCCTTTAATATCATACAGCATAGGATTTGAGAGAGAGATATCTGTCCCATCACATTTCTAGTTTTTTTATATCAATAATTTAACTACTTATATGCTGATTGTAACAAATTTTAATACTCAAAAGTACCCACCACACATTGTCAGACTTACCCCACTCCAACCCCTTTCTGCACATGACATCTTATTCCTAATTGCTATCTCTTAACTAAAATCTTTAACATTAGCAGCAATTTGGCTTGATGCCTATGTGAGGAAACAATATTTTTGGGATACTTTTCACATCATGAGTCCAAACATAAATAAAATACAATCTATAACAATACAATTTTATTGATCTCACATTGGAGAAATTTAACTCTGCATTTAACCCATCCCCTTGGGAGCAGTGGGCTCCCACCATGCAGTGTGGGGTTGAGGGTCTTGCTCAGAGAGCCAGATTGGCAGTCTGTGGGAGTGAATAGAATAGAATAGAATTCAGCTTTATTGTCATTACCATGTTACAAGTACAGAGCAACGAAATAAATTCTCTGCATGTAACCCATCCCCTTGGGGAGCTGTGGGCTGGCATTGTGCAGCGCCCGGGGAGCAGTGTGGCATTAATTGTCTTGCTCAGGGACCCAGAGTGGCAGTCTGTGGGAGTGGGGCTCCAACTCAGAACCCCAGGATTCCAAGCTCTATGCTCTCTATGCCACGAGGCCGCCACTCACCCTAATGTAAACTAGAATAGAAAATAGAATAGAAAATCTAATGTAAATAAAATAAGTTAAATAAAATAAAAAAAAACAATAAAAAGCTGCTCCACGTGAGAAATAATGGTTCGAAACCCTTTGAAACATGGCATCATGCTAAAGTTGGGAGTATATATGTCTAGACCCTAAAACTACAGTGTCCCCAATAATCACAAGTGATTAAATGGGAGGAAGGTCACTAACTTTAGACAATTGAATGTATTGTGAATAAGATTGCACTGGAAATGTGTTGTTAGAGTCACATTTTTCTCAGCCATTATCTCCACACATTTTAAATGTAGATAATCAGATGCTTGACAGAAAATGTGATCAGACCCTGATTAGTAAATCTTCTCATAAAGGATCTTTATTGCACACATTTAATTGACACTTAAAAGCAGAACATCTACATCGATAAGGAAGTTGAACTGCAGAAATAATCCACATGATGGCAGTGTTCTTTTTATAGTGTGATCAACTTGTGCAAACCAAAATCACCCCTTCCTGGTTTTTATGACTATCTTAAGATCTTAGAAAATCCTCATTTATTTACTATTATTACTGACATAATGAAAATCAATATTTATTGTTTTTTGTAATTTTTTTTTTTTTTTTGCGTTGAACAACAACAGAAAATGATATAATTTGGTTACAAACGAAAAGTTGATTTTTGCAACTTTAATCCATTTAGACATAAAGTTTGTGGCGCTTATGTAATGTAAAAATAAAGAGAGTTAGACATAATTATGGTGTTTTTTGCACCATTTCTATTTTAGTCGAGGAGTAATGGATGAATTAAAAAGTTTTGGTTGATAAAGTTAGGTACCGGTAAGTTTTTTTTTCTTTTTTGGTGGGATTTTTTAAATTCATGTTTTAACGGGATGATTGTAAATAATAATAATAATAATAATAATAATAATAATAATAATAATAATAATAATAATAATAATCACATCATAATCATCATCATCATCATTTGAAATAAAAATAAAACAAATTACCCTCATCATTTAACAAAAAAAGTCGGTATTAAAGGAATATGTTCAAATAAAACATGTCACCCATCCTTGATATTTTTTTTTCCCCTTTTTCTAATTCCAACCAGGACCTTTATACTGAAATTTATCTGACCCATAATTGCTTGTCTGTTGAGAGAAAAATAAGTTCTCAAACTGTTTTGGAAATAGAACAGTGCAAACTTTTGCACATTAAGGTGACAAAATGTGAAAACGAGTTTTTTTTTTAATGCATTTTATTAAATGAGGTGACACTAAAGAGTTAGTGCAGAGCGGGACGCACGGCGCCTTTTTCTTTTAGCGCGTCTTGGAGCCATTACGCGCGCAGCAAAGGTCACATTTAACTTGTTTCAGGCATTAGGTGTTTGTTCTTATGGCTGCACTCTTTTCCACTCATCTGAGTGGGAGAGTTCAACATCTGCAGGCCTACAGGGAGAGGTGGGGGTGTTGGAAGAAGGTTGGGGCTAAAAATGAAATATCTGCGCAGCCAATCAGCAACCCCCCCTCGGGTATTTAAAGAGACGGTGGGCAGTCTCTTGGGCTTAATGAGAAATTGTATTCTTTTCAACCTTTTCAAAACCTCACATCTTTTGCTCTTCTACATCCAGCCCATAGAGCTGCCCGTCTGGATGACTCAAACCCCGCTTTGCTTTCAGCTAATTGTCCTTTTTCTGGAGCTCCGTGCGCGCTGGATGCTCCTCTCCCTCCCCCACCGACTTGTTGCGCACAGAGGAGCGCCACTGATCCCTCAGAGAGAGAGAGTGAGGCAGGAACCCACTGCAACAGGTGCATTCACAGCATCCTCCCCAGCTGAGCACCAGGGGTAGAGAATTTACGCATCCTTTTTGCGGGGATTTCAATCAGAGGCGCTTTTGTTTGTTGGACAACTTTAGATTTTGTGTTCTCGTATTTAACTGCTTTTATTTTTATTTTTCCACTTGAATCAGTGAACCCAAACTTTAAATGCGTCAGTAAGACCTGTCCGGTCCTTTGTATAAAGCCAGAATGCCCGTTTTATCGAGTCCTGACATTGCCAACAAGTTTAAGGAGAAATGGCTGGCTGCGTTCCCGGAGGATCAGGCCGGCGGCTCTGACTCTGCCCCCCTGGATGACAGCCTGACCAGCCTCCACTGGCTGCAGAATTTCTCCATCCTCAGCGCGGACCCGGAGCGGATGGTTGGACCCGGCCCGGACTGCTCATCCTCCCAGCACCAGCTCTTCTTCAAACGCTTCCCTAGAGCCGGGACCGACTCACCATCCAGCCCACCTGCTGGGGATACAGCCGCCGCCGGGATGGCGCTGTACCCCGGCAGCCCTGTCACCTCTGGCAGTGAAACCACCGCTGCACCACCGCGGTTCCCCAGCTGCGCCCACCCAACATCATCCTATCCACATCCACAGATCCAGGTCCAAGCGAGCCCGCTGGTAGAGGTGGATTACAAAACAAACCCTAAGGTCAAGCCTCCATATTCCTACGCCTCTCTCATCTGCATGGCCATGCAGGCCAGCAAACAACCTAAAGTGACTTTATCCACCATCTATAACTGGATAACGGAGAATTTCTGCTACTACAGACACGCAGAACCCAGCTGGCAGGTAACCGAGCCCGGATAGGAGTCTGTTTATAATTAATGAGTCTGACAATGCTGAGTTAAGGTGGGGGAGGCTTAGCAATTGACTCCAGTGTCACCATCACACACACACGCAATGTTAGGAGTCCAGGACAACAAGCAGATCTTTTCTTTATTTGAACAGGTAAAATGAACAGGTGCTAAAACTTTTTTATTTATTTTTTTTATTTTGTATAGGTGACAAAGCAGCAAATCATCATCAAGTCATAGGAAAGTCTTATGGGGTTTTCAAAGTTCTTAGAAAAATAAAATATAAATCACAGAAGCTGTAAAGAGTTCAGTAACTTAAATATTCACAGCTCAGGTGAAATTTGGTCTTTTTTGTGAGGGTAGGTGAAAGTAAAATAAAAATGAAAAACATTTGTCCTTCATGAAAATAAAAAAAATTTGACAGAAGATTCAATTCAGTTTATTTCCATTTCAAATTCACAACACATGTAATCTCAAGGCACTTCACAGTTCACCAGATCATACAGTCAAATTGATTCAACATTTTCTATCTAAGGAAAACCAGTTGATTGCATCGGCTCATTGACTTGAAGGCAATCCCTCACACTAAGCATGACTGTAGCGACAGTGGAGAGGAAAAACTCCCTTTTAACAGGAAGAAACCTCCAGCAGAACCCGGCTCAGTGTGAGCGGCCATCTGGGGTTTGAGGCTGACTGGGGTTCAAGGAGACAGAAACCGAGATACAAAAAGCAGCTGTAAAAGGCGAAAGTCCAGGAAACACACAGCCAGGCAGACGAGCTCTGAGCCAGCTTCCATGTCAGAGGATATCAAAGGATCAGAATATACTGAATATACTGTGTCCATGGTGAAACATGGGGGTGGCATCATCATGCTGTGGGGAGGGAAGCCAATCAGAATTGAAGGAATGTAGAAAAACAACCTGAGATTGGGACAGTTTCACCTTTCAGCAGGTCAACTAGCATCCAAACAGAAATACAGTGAATGGGTTAGATCACAACAGCTTTGTGGGTTACAATGGCCTAGTTAAAGCCCAAACCTATTTGCAGCAAAATAATAAAAAAATATATTTTCACTAACAGAATAAAAGGATGGTAGATCGAAACACCAAAATTTTAAAACTGTAACAGACGCAAGAGAAGAATTGACCCACGAGGGCAAGTTTTGACAAGTTTTCCTTGGTCAAGACAATTTAACCAAGAATCATATAACCTCAGATTGGTCTATTGGCCAGTCAGATAAAAGTAAGATAATATATTACTTATATAAGCTAATGTTGGAAGTTTTTGGGGTCACCCAGACTTTTTATATGGCCTCTTCTTTGAGTTTACATAGGTGGGGATGAGGGGACAGTGGCTGGAGGAAGCATTTGTATGTGTGGATGTGTTTTGTGTGTGTGTGTGTACATATGTCTTAATGAGGGCTCCTGAGAGAGCTGGCAGCTAAGCACAGCTGATCATGTTTGAAATGCTCCGAGCCGCCTGTTACTAGAAAGCCTCATTAGGTACATTTGCTTCCCTATACAAACAACAACAATATCCCCAACGCCCACTCCGCTGTCTACTGAAAAAATTGACTTTTTTTTTGTGTTTTCGCATGACTGATTGTTACTTGTGTCTGTGACCATGTTGAATGTGTTTTTTCCTATTTTTGTTTTCTTTCTGGTGCAGAACTCGATTCGTCACAACCTGTCCCTCAACAAGTGTTTCAAGAAGGTCCCCAGACAGAAAGACGAGCCTGGGAAGGGGGGCTTCTGGCAGATCGATCCTCAGTACGCGGACATGTTTGTCAACGGTATCTTCAAACGCAGGAGGATGTCCGCCAACCACTACAGCAGCAGCAGTGCAGCACAAAGACAGAACAAGCTGGTTCAAGGCTATCACAGCAGCCAGAACACCTGTCCGTATCAGGTGGTGGGCAATAAAAGGAAGCACCTGTCCTCTAAAGACCATAGCAAACTAATGAGATCTACAGATTCCCCTCTTTTAGCCATGGAAGCTAATAAAGCAGACAGCCTGAAGGGGGACTTTGACCTGGCGTCTGTGTTCGATGATGTTCTCGACGGCAGCTGTAGCACCTTTGAGGATTTGGATATCAACACGGCGCTGAGCTCCCTGGGCTGTGAGATGGAGGTCTCCATGCATGGGAGGCAGTACGCAGCAGGCCTGGGGAGGTGGTGTGCAACCGGAGACATGAACCATTACCAGTCCTACAGTTACCTGGAGCTGAGCGGCGCTTCCATGGAGAACTCCATCAACATAGGAGAACTCGGTGTGCCTCAGCTGCAGCAGCCGTCGCAGAGGCAGCAACAGCTGGAGCAAGATCAGCTGCTGCAGGGACATCTTCATCTGCAACAGTTCGACGAGTCCGCCACGCTTTTCCCAGAGCAGCCGGGAGAGGCAATGCTGCAGCCGTGGGAGGAGATTAAAGAAGAGCCGCAGGCCATTCCTCTGACTCTGGATCAGGGTTTTGGTCTTTACGAGGGCTTCTTCACAGAGATGCAGCAATGGGAGTGAGTGGAGAGCTGTAGGTGAATTCAGACTTTAACCAACATGAACCAAATACTTTATCATCCAGTCAGTTAGATGAGCTTAATTGCTGGTTTTGTCTCTGAATAAAATGAACTGAAATGTAACCCAGCTACAGATCTAATCTCCCTCTGAAACCTTCCAACATCCACTGCATTATTTATCTACACTGATGAGCCATAGCATCAGGGATAGCAGTCTAATTGAGAAGGACCTCATTTTGCTTGTGAACTAGCTCATGAAGAAAACAGAAAAAAACAGAGTATGGACTGTGGATCATTGGTCCCTGCTGGGAACAGGTTCTTTGAACTGGGAATTCTATCCAATCAGATCAGGATCTGAGCTATAAACTGATATAGATGGTGTCTTCTTCTGATCACTTCAAGGTGATGCACTGCGGCGTAATAGGGCTCATTTTGGTCAATGCTCCATCTGTAGCTTCATATTGTGCTTCACTGTTCCAACTTATTTTCATTTCATGCCTATGAGCAAATAATCTTTTATCCAATTACTTTTTCCAGTGCAGACCAGTTTAAATGGCATTGGAGTAATCTATTTTAGTGAATTATACAGATAAATAGTTATAAAAATGCCCATATCTTATTACCAAGATGTTCACAGGTCAAGTCTCTTTGCATACTGGTCATTCCAGATCTTTGCCATTTCGTAACCCATTTCCCTTCTCCATTTTGGGCACAACCCTCTGTTGGTTGTTCTGAGCCAACCTGTGTTACTTGTTATCCACCTAGGAGCGTTATGTTCTTGTTTTAATAACCATCAGGGTCACAGTGGGTTAGGGTGCCTATGTCCAGCAGTCTACGGGCGACAGGCGGGGTATACCCTGGACACGTTGCCAGTCAGAGACACACGAGGACACACAACAATGCACAGACACACTCACGGACAATCTAGAGACACCAATCAACCTAACAGTCATGTTTTTGAGCTGTGGAACGAAGCACCCAGAGAGAACTCACACATGCATGGGGGGACATGCAAACTCCATGCAGAAAGAAACCAGGACCTTCTTGCTACAAGGCAACAGTGCTAAAAACTGTGCCACCGTGCAGTCCTGTTATGGAAGCCTACAATTTAAAACAAATTTCTGCCTTTTACTTTAAGCTTAGCTTTTTACTTTAAGGAAATGTGTTGCTATGACTCCAATGAAAACTATCTGTCAATGGTTGGTCACAATGTTCTAGGCCTAGAATCATAATCTGTCATATTTTAAGGGTGGAATCAGAAGGCAAAGCAATGGGGAAATGGTGCAGTCCAGTACTTTTAGTTAATGAATAGTATACTGTAGCTTTTTGATTATAACCTTCATAATTCATAAAAAAAATACTACAGCATAAAAAGTATGTCCTCTGGTTTAAGGATAAAAAATGATAATAAAATGATGATAAAAAGGTAAAAATGGAACAGGATCCTTCTCAAGTCTTTAAAGGGACGAGTCCAAGTCAAATCTAAAGTTCTATTCATAATCTGAAATTAGATGCGTGACATCTAGCCATCCTAAAACAAAGAACGGCTGTATGTCAGAAAAAAGAAATCTTATATCCTTTATCCTAACTTATTACATAGATATTTATAATCTTTCCATAAACATATTATCCAAGATGTAAAAGTACCCGTCTACCTGCTGTGGGTTCTATAGAAAATGATTCATGGTATCAATATTAACAATAGTAATTATGTTAGATTACCAGAAGAAGAATACAATGGAGGAATTGAGTTTAAGCGTTTTAATGCAGACCTCAGTCTGAGAGTAATCTTTGTGGTTTTAATTCAAAATTACAAAGATTAACAGATTTTTACGCACCATTACAATCCTGCAGTCTACAGACATTCTTAGATAGTAAATCCAAAAGGCTCTCTAGCAGTACAACATGTGCACCTATGTCAGAGACAGAGTCGTGGTGTTCCTACTCAAGCTAACTTTGTGGTAGCCTTAAATAAAACAAAACAACTTGGAAGCTGCGTTTATCTTCTGTAATATAGGCTTCTGGCACTGAAGGCGCATACCCTCAGGGCTCACTCTTTTAATAACACTTAGTTTACAACTTTAAGATGATTTTAATGGTTAGAGATCAGGGTCTTACAATACCAGTGTGGGGGGAAAGAATAGGGATGAAGCCTTGAATATGGGTTACATCAGCTTCTGACAGATCAGCAGGGACTCACCTTGATTGCAAAAACAGTACACCACTCACATGTTCTCTGTAGAAGACGTGGCATTAATGGGAATTATCTGTCTGACTGAAATACCCTCCTAGACCTCCAGCTTTATCCATATGTACATTTTGCCCTGAGATTACTTACCATTTTTTTAAGCATGCAACATCTTTGACATGCACAGTGTCTATTAATTATATGTGATTTCCCAACAACTGCTTTCAACATCTCCAGCAACCTGAAGTTTCCTATATAATCTGACACTTTTACTTAGACTTACAGTGAGGGTGTTGAGAGTATGAGGCTTAATGCTGAATTATAAAACCTCTCCTAGTAGGTAATCACTGGTTGTTACCCATTGTTAGGGGGAAATCAGCTTATTTTGGTAGTAAACAAAGAGTAAAAAAAGTGCACAGGTAGAAAATGGCAAAAGGCTGAAATGACCAGCCTCTCACTCAACTCAAGCCCTGGGCCCATGGGGGAGGTTTGGTGTCATATGAGGCGTTTGACTGGGCTGTGAAAATAGATGAACAGTGTTCCTCATCCTACCTGAGCTACTCTAATCATACTGTCATGGCTGATCAGTTCATGTTTTTGTCTCTTGAATATGACGGAGTGCAGTGTGTTTCATAAAAAAAAAATGGTGCAAATTGCGATTCTTTTTCACTGATTTAAGGTGGCTGGACAGAAGACGCCAGTGAAATAAAGATCCACGAGATCTTAATCTGATGTGGTTTTCATGTGAAGAATCAATAAAGGAGTAACAATGGAAAAGAAGTGGCTACGTGCACAAACTAGGATGAATATTACGTTTGGAGGTGGAATGAAGAAGAAATATGAGTGACCTGATTGTTCTGTGGATCCTTGCTGTTTCGGAGTCTTTGGTCTTCAAAGCAACTGGACCAAAACACAGTGATCCTCCATCAAAGGACTCTCTAGAGAGATGCAAAGCAGGCAGGATGTTATTGTGCTACATTAGCATGGACTTTTCTACTAACATTGAGAGAAGTTGTCCTTTTTATGTGTAATGATGACAGATGAAGCTAAATTGAGATGTATAAATTCAGATTCAGTAAGAAATATCATAAAATCAGTCATCCATGACATTATAACATAGCTGATTTAATATATATTCAGTAAAGTATATAGCATGTGGCCTGGCAGGCAGGATGAATCACATCTATCCCCTGATTTGTGTTGCAAAGCAGAAAATGAAATTAAAGATTATGCACTTTTTATAGGACGATGTTTGAAAATGATACCAGGCTGGTTTTTATCAGGATGTTTTGTTTTAGTTGGTTGTCGTGTTGCTTTTGTACCACTGATGCTGATAAACAGGAAGCACACCGTGCTGCAAGTGGCTCTTTTAGCTCACTGATCTCCACTCTGCAATAATTCAAACTGGCTAGTACTAGTATGCTTACAGAAAAGCCCTGTTTTTTATAAATATATGTAAATGTGGGTATTTGTTTATGATTTTACGCCAAATTTGTCGATGAAAAATATGCAGTTTGCTGTTGTTTCTTTACTGATTAATCAGAAAAGCCTTCTTTGTTTTGTTTTTTTTAATTAACTGATGTATATTTTTCCTCATTGCTGTTTACTTTTATGTACAATTTCTTTTACTACAACCTGTTTGTTTTCTCAAATCTTATCAGAAATGAAATAATGGGTTTAGGGAATACGTTTGGAATTAACAAGCTGGATTTTTCTCATTGTAATTAGTTATTGTTGGTCAACTTTGTGTTTATTTGTACTTTTTTAAGAGGTTTGGAAATGGAATCATGCCTTAATGCAATAAAAGGTGTCAGTTCAACATCGTTTTACCTCATAGCTACACTCAGCAGCATAGCTTGGTGACCAGGTTTATTGTTTGAGTTAGAGGCTTATGTGAGTAATGGAGAGATAAACTGTCTATCAGGGTTTATCATTAATCAGAACAGGCTCAGAATTTTCTGCTTATTTAAAAAAAGGTCAAGGAAATGGTAGTTGTGTTGGGGAGGATACATATTTCAAAAGAAACATTTCTATATAAATAAATACTATACAAAAGCAGATGCTTTTTTTAACATTATAAGGTATGAACATAGTTAGATCACAAGAAATTTTAAAAGTGCCATTTTTTCATTAATAAAACTATCTTAATGAGAAGGACAACATTATTGCAGCAACTCAGATGAAATTGGTAAGATTTAAGTTTTTAATCATTAAAAGTCAAACACAACCACACAATATCTGATAGTTTTTAACTAATTTTCATATTCACCTAAACATCAAACAGCTGAAAATCGCTTCTTTTAAAAAAGGGAAAATCAATTTTTAAGAGCTTCTACCATGAGATTTACTTATGTCCTTAAAAAAACGCTGTTGAGAGAACAGATTTTGAAAAAATTAAGCCCCTCCACCTGGTGCAGAGATTCCCTTATCCAGTTTATCTAGACCATTGTGATATTAGGAGGGTTGTTTATTTTTAACTAAATGCAACATAAAAACCCAATATGGCTGCTAAACAATCCCCTAACACTTTGTTTTCAATCAAATACAACATGACCTCCCATTCCTAATCTGTAGGGTTCAGTATGACTGATCAACCCTTTTCAGCTGTAACTTCTTCAGCTCTTCTGGAAACCATGAAGAATCTTTGAGAATTCTTCCAGAAACAAGAATGGCAATTGGTTACCTGTGGCAGAGATTCAACAAAAATAATAGGTTACATTTTATTAAAAAGTCATGTAATAGTTTGCAGTTCTAAACATATTTTACTTAGTCTAGCTCATGGAAAAGTGGCTCTTTGGATTGGCCCTTAGTTTTTCCAGGTCATTCCAGCTTATCCCCACTAAGCTCTAACATACTAGTCTTTATAGATGTTGCTTTGGGCTTCTGTCATGTTGAAAGGGAAGAGGACTATCCCCAAATTTTTCCCATAAAGTCGGTAGCATGTGTGACAGTGTATGCCTTCCAGTGAAGATCCTTAGCTGATTGGCCAATGGCAAATCCCTCTGGCTAAATGGTCAGAGTCTGCCTGACTTTCACCTGGGAATCTGGGGATCGAATCCTTCAGATTGCCAGATGGAAAACCTGTCATTCCAGAAGATATGTCTTCACTGCTCCATAGTCCAGTGGTAGCAAGATTTACTCCTCTGAATCCGACGAAACACTATGAATTGTTGCTAAGCTTATCTGAAGGCCACGAAGACTGGAGTTCTGTGGTGACTGACGCTGCAGAAAGTTGGAGACAGCCAATCCCAAACCGGCCCCTAAGCACTAACCCTGAGCACTACCCTCTGTTTGCTCATTCCTGTGGTGGGTCCGCCACATTAAGTGCCATCCCAAACCATGTTTGGGATGGCACTTAATGTGCACTGGGTAGGGCCAGTGGAATGTTCAGCCCTTAAATAGTGAGTCTGAATCAGCTGGAATTGAGCGGAGGAAATATTTTCTGCT